GATAGATAGATAGATAGATAGATAGATAGATAGATAGATAGATAGATAGATAGATAGATAGATAGATAGATAGATAGATAGATAGATATGTATGATATATAAGTACGTCCGCAATTGTTCTCAGTGTTTGCCCAGTCAGAATTTATCCTACTATGGCACGTTCCGCCATCTATCGGGCGTATTCATTCAAAATTCAAGAACAGAGTTATGAGTGAAAGTGAATTATCGGCGCTCTGATCATGATATCACGTATTCCGATTACCTTTGCTGGTTGTGCTGTTAGATGGTGTTATTGCTCAACATGTATGCATTTCAAGTTTTGTGAACCGAAGTAAAACGTGAATTTTATTCTATAAAATGTGTCATCCCTGTAATAGTCGAGGTATAAAGTATGGCATAAAGCCTATATGGTGTGAATTTTTGGGCAACAGTTAACTCGACCCACTCGCCAACTCAGCTCGCATTGGGGCGAGTTTGCCCGCCTGGAGGTCGGTCAGCTCGACTCACCGGCTAACTCATTTAAGATGTTTTACACATTCCGACGTCAAAACGTGTGTGGTATTTTTGTAGGTATTTGTGGGTATTTGTGGGTATTTGTGTGGTACCTTGTATTATGTGTAGAGTATAATTTTCGCACACATAATCAATCTCAATTTGTAATCTCAATTAGGTATATTAGGTATATTAGGAATTTAGGTATATTAGGTAGTACTAGCTCTTGTTGTTCTCTTTCTGCTTTAATCGTTTTATGATCGAGTGACAATATGTGAGTTTGATTGTGTGTTTAGGTGTAGTGGTCGTTTAGCCCAATATAAATGTAATGTTTTAAAAGTTGAAGTGTTTTTCCTCAATAATTTTATTTTCATCATCGGTTATATTCTCAACAAGAGCGCATCAGACGTCACGTAAAAAACCCGTTTTTCAACCCGCGTTGTCATCATAAATAATATTATTTTTGTTAGGAATTGTGGCGAAAGTTATAGGGTCTCGTCTAACGACGTTTAATTTAATTAGATTAAGGAGCAAGTAATGAGCAGGTAATTTACAAACGACTCCTACCGAGTCTTGATTTTTGTTCGCATTGATGAAAAATTTTCGCAATCGCAAATTTTCGCAATTGTCAGCGAAAGAAATGCTCGACATTATTTCGACGAAAATCGATGAAATATTATCCGGTGTTGTTGATTCGCTGCATTAGCG